AAAGAAAGAAAGAAAGAAAGAAAGAAAGAAAGAAAGAAAGAGGGGAACTGTGGTTAAACTTTGTAAAGGGAAGGGTAAAAGACAAGTAGGCCAGGCAGTAGTGGTACACTCCTTTAATCCCAGAATGCATGAGGCACAGGAAGGTGGATCTCTGTGAGTTCGAGGCCAGCCTGGTCTACACAGTAAGTTCCAGGACAGCCAGAACTAACACTGTCTTGTAATAAACCCTGTCTTAAAAAAAAAAAAAGGCAAAGGTTGATTTTAGTATACAGATATTCAGGTACAGATTACTAAACTAAGTAAAGCCAAAGAAGTAATCAGAAAAACGGTACAGCAGTCTCTCATAACGGTAAGAGAAGAGGTTACTTTGGGGACAGATGTGTTGGTTGAGAGGAAATGATGGAGTTCACAGGTTGTCAGGAATGGTGGCACATGTCTTTAATCTCAACACGCAGGTAGAATCTCTATGAGTTCCAGGCTAGCCTGAGCTACGTAGTGAGACTCTATCTCTAACTAACTAACTAACTAACTAACTAACTAACTAATTCACTCTCCAGGTAGAACACAACCCTGTTCTAAAAAAAAAAAAAAGTTTTTAAGCATCAATATGCCACAGGTAGAAAATTCCACACCTGGGATGGACTGCACACACACTAAAAATGGTGTATAAAATTACACTCAACTCTGCAGAGAAGATATATATGAAAAGGCAATGAATTCTCTCCTTAAGATATGATCATATGTATACAGATATTCTCAAATTCCAGAAAATCCTGGTCCCAGGTATTTCCAATGAGGGAGAGAGATGACCTGTATTTTCTTATTCCTCTATTCATCACAGGGGTATCGTCTTGGGGTTAGCTGGTGGAGTGTAGACTATATCCGTCTTATGCTGTCTTCCGACCACATTTATTCCTGAAAAGTTAGGTGATAATAGAAAACTGGGAAGTATTTATTGTCGTTTTTTCCACATTCACCTTCTAATAACAATGACTCACTGTGTGTGCTGGGAAGACAGATGCTAACCCTCGCCTTTGGGAATTTTGTGTTTTGAGAACATAAACACACTCTGGATGCACTCTGTTTTGGACCGTGATCCCAGTGGATTGGAACTGGGGTAAGAACTATGGCTCGGTTGATGGAATGCTGACCTACAATATAAGAGAGCCTGAGATTCCCCAGCACCACCAAGGAAACAAATGGATTTGAGTGGTTCGAAGTGGATAAAGAAAGCATTCTGGGACTGATTTAGGTTTTTACAGAGGAAATGGTGGTAGCCTGGGTGGGGTGTGGCAGAAGACAGAGCAGATAGATTGCAAGCATATTTTGAAAGTAGAACCATCAGGCTATTGATTAGTGCATTTGTTGTTTGTAGGTGGATGAGATCAGTAAAGAAAGAAGTGGGCAATGCTTCTAGCACGAGCTTACTGAATAGACACCGTTTGGTGAGATGGCCATCCAAAGCCACAGACAATGAGACTTTGCTCAGAAGCGCTGTTCTTTGTGCGCAGAGCAGCTCCATAGCCCACCTCAGGTCTCTAGAGCTTTTGCCTTTAGCTCACAGAGCTACACAGGTGTCTAACCCAGGGAAGGCACTCACGTGGCAACTTGAACACAGTGCATTCATTACAGATGTTGGCCACGGTCCTTCCTAGGGATCACTGTATGGGATCAAGATATTGAGTACACTTTGTGCATGACAGAGGTTTAGCATAACACTAATTAAGTTCAACCCATTTGGCTTAATCCCCATAAAATTACAGTATGCTTTTGTTTCTAAACTGTGACTGAAAAACAACGCAACCACAGCTCAAGCAAGGGCTTTATTAATAAACTGATAGTTAGCTTCACGAACTGTCATCGGGCATTCCATTTTGCAACAGCAGTTCGAGAGTTGGGAGGAAAAGAAAAACATTCTGTAAATTGTGCAGTAGTTTCGGGAAGAGGGGATCGGTTATGCTGAGGGAGAATGTTACAGATGTGATGTGTCAGATGACATTGGGTTTCACCAGGGGTAGGCAAACTGGTTATGGTAAACGGGAGAGGAGGAGGAGGGGGAGGCTGGAGACAAATAGGTTTGACAAAGTGGCTTGTCAGAGCAGGGGGCTGTGAAGGGAACCAGCACACTTACTTAGCATGGAGGTATTTGCACAGTTGGCGCTTGTAAGTGCAGTGTTGCCTGCCACACAAATCAGCTTGCACAGGTTAGCCAGGAGCACTGTGCCAGATAGACCTTTCTTATTCCGGGAGACACAAAGACATTTGTGGATGAGGGGTCTGCAACTGATGCATTCTCAGTTCTGCTCATTCTAAATCTCTCCTACACATCTTTACTGCTGCAGGGTTTTCCTCTTCCTTGAAGGAGTGGCCCTCAGACTTCCTGGTCCTGCTGTCTTAAGAGTCTTGATGACTACTTGAGCTAGGTCTACATACCGTGACTCCTCCCTCCCTTATTGTCACCAGCTTAAGCAAGTATTTAGCCCGAGTCAGGCCCACATATGCCCACCTTCTAAGTGACTCGCCCCAAGGACATGAGTGAGTTAGAGAAACCCTTGAAAGGTCCTAGGAACGTGAACTCAAATTTCCCAGCAGGCAGAGTGTTCTGAGAAATCCAGGAAGAGATGCTATAGCAGCTTTGGACTAAGCTGGTTCAGCACAGGGAGAGGCATGATCGTGCAGTGAGGATGGCATGTGGTGAAGGCTGGCTCATTTGGTTCTGAGTTAGCCTTGTACAGTGAGAGATGAGATGGACTGAAGACTGTGTGTGCATGTGTGCACGAGTGTGTGTGTGTAATGCTGGGTATCCAATGCACAACTACTCACATGATACGTACTCTATGACTGAGCTCCATCTCTGGTTTGGGGTTTTTAGACTGGCTGTTCTTGGGGTTCTTCTTTGACAATTTAGAGACAAAAGTACTTAACATCACGTATATTTTTATTTATTTATTTATTTATTTATTTATTTATTTATTTATTTAGGCAGGGCTTACTATGTAGACCAGGCTGGCCCATGTGCTTGCCACCATACCTGCCTTATATATACTTACTTTATAAGGATTAAACCAAACAAGTTTAAGATGTTAGCATACAGTTTACTTTGTCCTGTTGTTGGTCACAGGCATGTACATAGGATGTGCATGACACAGAAAGATGACTCTTCTGCTGGATTTACAACAGATTGGTGGCATTGCCTTACATTCAAATGACCAGATAGGCACCTTTCACAGACGAGATACACATCTAGCTTTCTGAGTTAAAGGATGAAACCGTAGGAAGTTGGCAAAGAAAATGAGTCATTCTTTTCTCAACAGAATAGCAGGTTCGGAAGGCAAACCTTCTGAAGGGACCAAAAGTCCCTTCTGGTCTTTGCTGCCTCCAATCGGGCTAACTTTCCAGTCATTCACTAGTTAAAGGGTGTTTGTACCAGTGGTGATCCAAATCAGGGAGTTACTTTTTCAATCGGCTCCATTTGGCTTTGAAACGCTTTGCATGCGGTATGGTGGCAGATTTATTTCCTTGTGCATTACATTGTTATAGCTTAGAGTTGGAGGACTCTGGTCAGTGAGACACAGTAGTGCAACGATAGAGGTACAGGAGGAACCAGTCCTGGCTCACAGGGAGGAAGAGTCATATGCTCATACAGATAGGACGAATCTATGCCAGTAGACTCTCTTTGATCTAATAGTCCCAGAGGTGTTACATCACTTATGTCCAGAATACATCTCAGCACGGGGCTCTGCTTGTTGTAGCTGCTGCCAGACACAGACTCATAGGGATTATATTATTTTAAGAGGGGGTTGGTTCCAGGTGGAAAGTTGGGGCTTGTTAATTTCAAAGTAGGGGTTTTCATTTTGCTCATTCTTGTTTCCCAATAGCTAGGACAGCACAGACTATGAGCTCAGTAGTTTTGGTTCGCTGTGCAAGACCTCAGAATATCAGTGGAGAAATACCCAGGTGATTGCTAAAGTAGAGGGAGCACTTTTGATGTCTGTGCTGGGAAGGCAGGTTTCCTTAAAGAAGAAAAGCGTAGGCTCTGCAGGATGACTCAACCAGTAAGGGCTCTTACTGCCCAGCCTGCTGATCCTCCATCCCTAGAACCCACAAGGTGGAAGGAGAGATCAGACATCTTACAAGTTGTTCTCAAACACACAAATAAACACAACAACAACAAATTAAAGGGAGTTTAGAAAAAAGTGAGGAGGCTGACGATCGATCGGTTCGTCTAGTGGTCAGAACGAATTACGAAAAAAAGGGCGCTTTTCAAGACGGGGTGTGCAGTCAGTATCTGATGCTGCAAAAAGTTGGAAGAAGACTCTGAGGACCAGCAGTCATTTCTCTGGGCACAGGCCAGTCAGTGGCTCCAACGGGCGAAGAAGAGTCTGATACTGTCCCCAGGAGGGGACATGACACACGGGTAAGGCCTGGTCTTACAGCAGCTGGCTATGGGTTTTTTGAGGGACAATAACAGGCATCTGGTAAGATGTCTGATTGTAGGGAAAAGTCCAGGGGAGAGAGATTAAAATTGTATAAGAGGTGGTGGAGAGATGGCCCTTATCAAAGTGTCAGGCTGAAGGGCCGCGCTCCAGGAGAAAGAGCCACCTGTGACAGAGGAAGAAAGAGTCATAAATTTGTGGTGCTCCTTTTCGGGGGTTCTGGCGGGAGAGGAGGAGCTTCCTGGGGGGCATGGCGGAAGGCGGGACTGGGTGCAACAGGTGTGCGGGCACTGGTGCTGGCTGGCGGGGCGGGGCGACCCGGGAGGCCACACCCTGAAACTACCTGCGCGGGGAGGAAGGATGAGAACGGGAGCCTCCGCCGCCGGCCGGGCGCGCTGGGCCTGCCCCGGAACTTGGCCCTTGCCTCTCCTCGCACCCCTCGTCCCTCGTGTCCCCAACACCCCGCGGGCGATGGTAGTCGGCTGCCCGCCGGGATCGTGCGTCTGAGACCGGCGATCGGGCTGCGGAGACCATGGGGAGCAATCGGGGCCGCAAGGCCGGACGGGGCTCTCAGGACTTCGGCGCGGGACTCAAGTACAATTCCCGGCTAGAGGTGGGCGAGGGCTGGGGATCCGGGGCTGGGCGTCCACAGTCCCGATCCGCGCGCACCGTCGCCTGCCCGGGGCCCTCGGTTTCTCCCGTGTTCCTCTCTACGGCCCGTGGGTGGCCGAAGCGCGGGTGCACAGGTGGAATTTCCTGTTCGGTGGGTGCCTGGCCGCTGGTGGCAGGGCGGGGCCGGTCAGACCTCGGCCCCAGATCTGCCCTGCGGCGGCCACCGAGGAGGCGGGAAGCCCCAGGGCCCGGAGGCGTCGGGACGCTCCTCTTGCCTCCTGTCTTCTCGTTTCTCTTGATGGCTGGAAAGGAGAACCTCAGTGGGGGTCCCCATTGCTCCCCATTGGTTCCCAGTGCTCCGAGTGGGTGACCTGGGCTATAGCAAGTTGGAGACCTGTCTGTCCTTGGTCTCTGCAGAAACTCGTTTTCATCTTCCTGGTCAAAGGCGCTTTGGATCTTTTGTAAAGGGTAAACTCAGAGCAGAGCTTTGTCCACACGGGGTGTGGAGCTGAAGGCTTGTTGGCCCTTGATAAGGTGCTGTCTGGGTAGTGGTGAGCCTGTGTCCTGAGCCTTCTGGAAGAAGCCTTTAGTAAGCTGGAAGCAGAAGCATGAGAAGTCTCTTGAAAGACCTCAGAAACACTTCACTTTGCAGTACACAGTGGGGGAGGGCTTTAGTTACCTTACTGAAAGACACACATGGCACGGGGGTGGTGGTGGTGCAGTTTTCTGGTGGGACTAGCGGCCAGGCATTTTTCTAAACCGCGGCAAGAGGCTGGTGAGCGAGGTTTGTTGCTCTGGCAGAGGCAGTTTCCTGGAGCCTAGTTTCCTCTTCCGCCACTTTTTCATTGGGACCGTGAACCGGGACTCTACTGCCTTCACTTTTCACCCCTTGTAACCAGAGTCCCCCGCAACCTGTGCTTCTGCCCTGCTGTGAGATGCCACCTGTTGCCGCCTTCTCTTTCTTTCTGTAATTGGGGTGTTTGTGAGTCCTTAGTAATTGCCTGTTTGGGGCTCGTGCCTCCTCGGCAGGTAGCCTGCTGTTTGGTGTTTGGTCTTCAGGGCTGTTTTTCTTTCATTCTCTGTTTGCCCTTTCTGACTTCCCTTTCGAAGACCGATGCTGATACTGGAAGTGGGTCCTCTGGTGACTGAACTCAGTGTCCTGCTTAGGCTACGTACTCCCCCCCCCTCCCCGGCAGGGCGCATAAAGTTTCTCCCCGACGGGAGCCAGGGTGGGGCTCACCGCTCTGGTCCCTGGGCTCCTGCTAGATTACTATTCATCAGTAACTCCATTTTGCCTTCCTCCTAGGTCCTCATTCATCTAGTCTCCATCCCTTGGGCTATTCCTACTCACTTTAGCCGGTTTCTTTCACATGTGTGGCTCACTCTGTTTTGTTTTTCCAGTTTGGTTGAACGACCCCTGTACCCCTACTGGGTCAGGCGCTCACTGCCCAAAGGGGCCCTCAGAGAGCAATAAGATGTGGTTGGTTCATTTAAGGAACTTAGTCTTTCGGGACATGTGAACAGACACACAAAGTTCCACACGATGCAGTGTGTCCTCAAGAGTGTAGCCGCAGCTCACTCTCACACTCCCAGGAAATCTTCAAGTATGACTTTCACCCCAGGTCTGAGTGTTCCTGGCTGCATCACCCAGGACTGCCTGTTTACAGTTGGGGTCTTGACACTTTCTCTGACCGGTCTGTGTGGCTGCTTGCTGCTTCTTGGGTAGCTTCTGTCACAGAGACTGGCTGAGGTCTGGCTGGGTCCCAGGGGCACTACTACCACAGATTTTGAGTTGTGACTTGTCTGTCTCCTTCCCAAGGTTGATTATGCTGGTCCCTCATGGCTCCCACAGAGGGTCGGAGTTATTCTGCTGTGTTATTTTCCCTGTCTCATGTATCCCGGGACTGTGTGTGCCCTGCCTAAGTATGAGCAGGTGTACAGATACAAGCTGTTATGGCCGTTAATGAGAACGGAGAAGTCTGTCTCACTGATTGGTTAGGTCAAACTTAACCAAGCTGTGGACTGTTTGACGGTGGCTGTGAAGTCGCATGTATGCATATGAAATATGCATATATGTTTAGTAATGATTTCTTTAGGTAAGACTGAGGGTTCCCCAACGATAGAGAGACAGGTTGGGAACTTATAGATGCTCTGAGTCAATATTAGGAGTTTGGGAGCTAGGCCTTACAGCCCTGAATATTTAGAGTCATCTGCTAATTGCTCAAACACTCGCCCAAACAGTCAGTCACTCATCTGCATAACAGGTATTTACTAAGTACCCAATGACCAAGCACTTGCCAGGTACTGAGAAGGATCCAAGTCACAGTCCCTGCCTTCAGTGTCACCATGGGTAGCATGGACAAGCGCAGAGTGGGGATTTAGAAGGACATCTGTCTAGCCCGAGCTGGTTGCCAGGGCAGATGAATTGGGCTGCAGGCATCTGCGACAAGGGAGGACAACAGGGAACCAAGACTCAGAGCCACCACTGCCTAGCCAGGTGATCTGAGACGTTATCCAATCCCAGTAAAGCTGTTTTAAAGGCTATGAAACTGGGATGCCTTGTGTGACCCTGGGTTATTCCTAAGATTCAAAGGAGTACTTTGCATAGGAAACCTTTGTAAACCCATAGTGATTTTGTTTTGTTTTTTTTGTTTGGTTGTTTGGTTTGGTTTTGAGTTTAGTGCAAATCGGGGGCAATCTCTGCTTTAAGTGGGTTCCCGACTTTGCAGAAGTCCTGGGCTGTCTGTCTGAGAACAGGGCAATGCTCCATCCACAGAGGGCATGCTGGGGAGTCACACCTCCACCCGTCTGTTTCGCTGAGCCCTTTCACCTTTCACTTTGCCCTCTCTCCAGCTTCTATGACAAGAAATGAGTAGCCTGCTCACCCTGATTCCCTCAGATTCTTTTCTTCTCTCTGCAGGCAAAGTGCCCCTGTAGAAACCTCTAAGGACTGGGCACTGGGAGACTGAGTGTTGTGTGGGGGTGAGGAACAGCAGGTGCTGTCAGGGGAAAGGAAGGCTGTTTTCTCCAGTAGGTATTAGAAGACCCACCCTTCACCTCTGTCCCAGGTCCTACGGTCCTCATTTAGGAGTCTGGAACGTTGAGGCAGAGGAGACCATTGAACTTTGAGAATTGCTTCTGTGTGCCAGAGTCTCCTGCTCCCAGTGGGCTTGCTTAGGGCCATCTGTGGCTAAGGTGTCATTATCACAGGCTACAGGAGAAGTGATCTTGCTTCCTCTCTCACCTGGTCTCTGTGGAGAGTGGCCTCAGAGTGCTGCGGTCTTGGAGTTCCCCTGTTGTCTGTTCGTTCCCTAGTGTGTGGTTCTACCCAGGCTGTTGGCTCTTCTCTCCTAGATCATGAAGTGTGTTACTGAAATGTGAGAGAGAACTGGGCAGAGTCTGGAGAGAGGCCAGGTCTTAAAGATGTTATCTGGCTCCCTGTGGTGACCACAGGGCAGGATCATGGGCAGCATTAGCTTTTGCTTCTAGTACTTGGGAGCTTACTCTATGGTCTCAGAGGTTGCAACGATCCTCTGTATCCAGGATTTCAGAATCTAAATTACTCATGCCCCTTAGGTAAGGTGACATTGTACAGCTCTGATTGGATTCACAGAAGGGAGACATTCTGAGAACTTTGTCCTTAGGTGGTCTGGTCAGTGTATAAACCTTGATTGTACAAGGTGACATGTTGTAGCCTGTCACGTGTTGGAACTGTATGCTATACGCTGTTGTGTGCGATGGGTTTTGTTTTGTGGAGTGTGACTGTTCTTATATAATCCAAACACAGCCCTCACGTACTCAGGTCATCTCTAAATTACTTATATAATACAATGTTAAATAGTTGTTATATTGGAGATAAACAAATGACTGTACCTGTTCCCTGCAGATACGGTTTTTATTTAATTATTTATTAATTGTTTCTATTTGTTAGTAGTTGTTTGTAGTGCTAAAGATTAAGCCCAGAATTTTGTGCACAGGAGGCACAAAATTTTGTGCACTCGGATTCTGTGTAGCCCTGGCTGTCCCGGAACTCACCCTGTAGATCAGGCTGGCCTTGAACTCAGAGATCTGCCGGCCTCTGCCTCCCAAGTGCTGGAATTAAAGGCATGTGCCACCACCGCCCTGCTCATCAGACAACTTTTCTAGAATCAGGTCCATACTGAAAATTCCTCCAGGTACTTGTCTTCCTATTTTGCTCTTTCTGCCTGGGCTTAAAGGATACGCTAGGTTTTCTCTGGAGGTTTTGTGACTGTTGTCTAACTGGTCAGTATCTCAGATCCCTTTGTCTGTCTGTGGTTCCTGCTGGTGATGCCTGTGTCTATAATGATTATCATGATGGTGATGGAGGAAAAGGTGGAGGATTCCTTTTCTACCCTTGCCTCAATACGGAGCTTCAGTCCGTTGTCTCACTTGCTGTGGTGTTGATGTGGAGAAACTAGAAGCATGGTTTACAGATGACAACTCTGGGGCTCAAAGGCCTTGTGTAAACTGCCCAGAGGCAGTGGGAGGTAGAGAAAGATTTCAGACCTTGATCTGTGTAACTTCAAAGCCCATGAGCTTTAACCACAATGCTATTATAAAACTGGGTTCCAAGACAGGGGTGATTGATGCATATCCCCAGCAAATCCCAGAACACATCATTAGGGCGTTGTGAGCACATAAAAAAAGAAGTGGTGATCACCAGGCGCCAGCCTAGTGCACCTAACTCATCTCACTCCAAACCTGTCTGGTTTTCCTTTTGATGGGCTGACCAAGCTGGGAGACCAGGAACACAGCAGAGGTGATTGCAACGTGGCTTTCAACGAAATGTACCTTCATTTATTATGGGCACCATTAAATATCATGGTGCAATTTCAAACTGAAAAACAATTCACCCAACTCACGCTGACAAATCAGCCCAGTCCATTTCCTTTGCTCCATCCCAGCCTTCAGCTGGTGTGTGAATGTTATTGCACAAGTCAATAGTCTGGCAAAGGCATAGCAGCGAACCTGTCTCTGGGC